GTCTGGGTGTCTATTCCAGTTTGTTTTTATATCTAGTATCTTTGTTGAGAATTGATAATAAAATACGCTACGACTTGGTAACGAAAGTTTGGCACAAGTTTTTTTAGATCCAGCTGTAGGGGGCGTCCCATTTTTCGTATTCCCACCATGCATTTCGGTGGAACACGGTGGAACACTTTTTTTGTGTGGGGAACTCTATCTTGTATTTCTAGTATCTTTGCTTCTCTGTACTAAAGTATACAATACTGCTACAATCTAATATACTAATTACTCAGTTTAACATATAGCGATAGTATGCTGGTTTTGGGATGGCTGGCCTCATATCAAGAAAGGTGACATACCAAGTTCACAATTAGTCCCAGTGAATCCTACAGGGCAGGTACATTCATAGTAAGTCCGGAAACTTTCACAAACGCCTCCATTCTGACAAGGGTATGGTGTGCATGCATCACGTTCTACAAGAAAAACCAGACTATCAAACTTTTTCTGACAAAAACATGCGACATGCCTAAATATGGTCAAAATGACATTACATCATGACCATATATAGGCACATCATGACCATATATGGAATACAACAGTGTTTTGTCAAAGAAAATTTGATAATCTGAACAGAGTTTTACAATGATGTTGATACCTTTCAAAATTGCTTATTGTATAATTTTTATCATTGTCATATTTTTCATATTTAATGTTAAGTTTTTCAACTTTATTCGGTTTTCGATGAGACATTTTTTATAGCTTGTTTTGTAAGATCATCAGAAAGGGGGAAAAAAAAAAGGAAATTTGTTTTGTATTTGGCAAACAGTTTTGCCAAAAACAACCAGACGAAGGAGAAAATAAAAATAAAATTCTATTGGTGAATGCAAATAGAGTATTAATGGGATGGTTAAATGCTTTAAATTGATATAATTAGGATGAAATATACATATCTTATTTTTAGAGATTTCAATGCAGTGACGTGGCGACAGTTGCGCAAATTGACCAAAAATAAAATTATTTCTTATTTAAATTTTAAATTATAATTGGCGGTCGACGAGTTCGCTAAAAAAAAGTGTAAACATATAAAATTGCCCTTTGAAAAAAACACAGCATGTAAAAAACTCAAATAATTACCAAATTCACATCTTGTTCCAATGTATCCTTCAAGGCACATGCAAGTATATTGAGTTGAGTCTCCTATACATGTAGCTCCATTAATGCATGGACTTGATTCACACACGTTATTTGGTGCTAGAGAGCGACAAAGAGAACATTATTATATCACTTGTATTTTCAAGATAAAGTAAAGAAGTATATATAAAAGGTGAAGCTTATCCATGGAATTTCACCCCTCCAGGTAAAACACAAGAACAGCAGTGATGGGATTAGAACCGGAGACCTAGTCATCTCCACGGTTTCGCGCACATACAGTATAATGGCTACAACCAGTTTAGCCGATTGAGTTGGCTGCTGTCATGGAGTGGAAGTTATATTATAAATATGATTTCTGAGCAAAAACAATAAGACTTCAATAGTTAAAAATGTGCAATGACAAAATATGTGTATAATCCTAAATGAAAAACAGCAGTAGCTTGACCTCATTGTTAAGAGCAACTAAATGATCCTAGATTTGCATGCTTATTGGAAAATATATTTTTCCAATTAAAAACAAATTATGATGCTCTAATGATGAGTCACCTGTCACATTTACACTATCAAGAAAAACAAACGCCGGTGTGACACCGAAGCCAAAACCATTTATACTTAACAAAGAAACTGCGGGATGATCTCAGGTCACACCCATTTACACTTGACAACTAACACCGACTGAACACCGGTGTTGAATGCTACCCTCTATGGACATTTAAAAAAACTAGCTCCTTAGTCTGCAATCAAGTTTAGTTCGCAGGGGGAAAACATTATAATTTATTTGTACACTAAAAACCGAATTAATTTCTAATCAAAAATACAATCCAAAACAATAAAATATAACTTACATTATGTTTATTATTTTTAACTAAATACTTTCAAAACATACAAATAATTATTTTTTTTTAAATGAATAATTTTAATGAAAGTGGATGATTAAAATCTCGGTTTGTGAAAGTTGGGACTGTTTACACTGATGTGTTCCGATGTCGACGGGACTATCCTGGAGAAGCTTCTCCTGAAAACATTCAGCTTCTTTGAACTCGGGTTCAGCACTCCAAAGTCGCTGACCTTCACCTATTTACTGGTATATCGACAACAGGGAAGAAAAAGCGAGTTTATCCTGAAGTCCCGCTAATAGTGTAAAAGGGGTATGAGAGTCAAATAATGAAGCTCTGTAAGGTGTCTTTTTTTTTTTAAACCAATATCAACTAACCGATTTCACAACGAAATCCACTGTATCCAGTTGGGCAGGTGCAAGTATAACTTCCGACCAAATCAGTACATATTCCTCCATTCAAACAGGGGTTATCAGCACATTCATTGACATCTAAAATGCATAAAAAAACATGGTGTCAACATTAATTAATGTAAAAGGAATAAAGAAAATTTTCTTACCAAAAAATTACACTCAAGTATCTAAAAATCACATCATTCATAAAGCCAGACTATCAAATTTTGTTTGACAGAAACATGATATGCCTAAATATGGTCATGATGACATCACATCATGACCATATATATGCACATCATGACTATATATGGGCATACAACATACATCTTGTCAAAGAAAATTTGATAGTGTGGTCCGACACACAAGCTTTAGCTAAAATTCCCAAGTCCGCAGATGTCGTACTCCTAGAGTGGTGGCGTATCTGGGGATATTGAAAAAGAGGCTGATGGTGGCATGAAGATTAAGTGGGAGAATCAATGATAAAGTGAGGGGGCACTAATTGGCAAAAATATGGTGATTTTAAACTACTTGAGCATAATCTTTCAGCTCAATAAATTCCAGTGGGGTCAGGTTCCTTGGAGGGCGAGTGCATCCACCTCCTCCGTTCGTAGATACAACACTGCTGCGTAATACATTAGTCAATAAAACACGAATTAAGAGATATTTGAAATATTATTCAGACACACTGCCAACTAGAGCCATATCTGCTACCAACTAAGCTGAACCAACCTCTATAGTTGGCAAATGTTGTTCTTAGAGCAGTACTGTCTTTGCTCAATAGGCAAGTGCATTTAAAGGAAATACATTTTCTTCTTGAATTATATATTAAATATATAAGAAAATATATAACATTAAAACATGCAATTTAAACTGATAATCTGGATATAATGTATATAATACATGCAAGAGGTAGGCAAAATACTGTACTCACCTTATAATATAAACAAAAAATATTATAATTTACTGTATCACAATATAACTGTTAAGAATTGCAACCATGCAATACTAGACAAAAAACAGATATATAAATACACATGCACAAAACATTACTAATTAAATAAATAAATAAGTAAATAAATAACTATTACTATTAATAATAATTCATTATTATTAAAGAAATAAATACTAGACAAAATAGATATATAATACACATGCACAAAACATTACTAATTAAATAAATAAATAAGTAAATAAATAACTATTACTATTAATAATAATTCATTATTATTAAAGAAATAAATACTAGACAAAATAGATATATAATACACTTGCACAAAACATTACTAATTAAATAAATAAATAAGTAAATAAATAACTATTACTATTAATAATAATTCATTATTATTAAAGAAATAAATACTAGACAAAATGGATATATAATACACTTGCACAAAACATTACTAAATAAATATATAACTATTATTATTAAAAATAATTCATTATTATTAAAGAAAGAAAAGACTAACAAATTATCACTACCATATATTTAGTTTCTAGTAAACATAGTAATTGTTATAAAAAGTATTAGAAATGATGCAGAAAAAATTGGCAGTTTACTGTTAAAGAAAAGTTCATCCCTCTAATCCCACCCATCCACTAGACTGACGCATGACAAACACTTAAGATATATACCGATTATGCTACAGAATCTTAAATAATCTATATCAAAAGATAAAAAATCTATGTTAAAATCCAAAGATTAATATCTGAAAATTAAAAAAAAATTAGTGAATATAATTTATTATTGTACTGGTAAATAAAAGTAGAAATTTTTTGTAAATATTGAAGAAATCAGCTGACAAATAATATAGAATCTACACAACTTATTGTTACATAATTCAGAAACTTTTCACTTGTTAATAACAAATTATTTCTCCACTACGACAAGGACTAAACTGCTTCTACAAAAAAGTGAGTGCAAGACACTCAACCAAAGCATATATTTGAATCATACAAATTTTTGCACTTGCAAATTTATACTTATTGAATTATTCAAATTTGTAATAGAGTAATACGATTCTAATTTAATAGAACAATTCCAAATTGTTTAAAAAAAACTTTATATTATTCATAATTAATTATCAATGGCAAATGATTACCAATCTACTATCATATCCCAATATATCTTAATCTAACATCTCTGCTTTAAACTCACAATGAGTTACATTAATTTGCATAATTGAATATTCATGCTTTGGTTGAGATTTGTTAACAGAATAACCAAAGACAAGTCTCCATGCAACAGCAGCGCCATCTACAGCTTTAACTGGTACTTACTGGCCTCGCAGAAGAGCCCTTCATAACCGTCAACACAATAACACCTATAGGACTCATCGATGTGATGACATGTGGCACCGTTCTGGCATGGGTTGGTGCCTGACGTGCATGTGTCAATAACTGAAAATGAAGAGTGCCACCAACATGGCTATAAGTACATTTTCAACCAATGGAATATCAGGATTAGTATGAAAAAAATATTTTAGCAATAATTTTATTTTTAGTTATTGTATGTAAAATGTTAATATACTGTAAATGATAAAACTTTTGCAGTAAATACCATTTACCTATTTTTACTCATTTAAATAAGTGTAAAATATTAGCATTGTTGGATTATCCACCAATTAGGTCATTAAAAAAAATGATTGTGTTGGCCACGCCCGACTGTCCCAAAATTGTACGAAATTAAATTTTTTGCATTTTATTGATTTATTTTTTTTTACTACAACAAAAAATATATCTTTAATGAGCTGAAAAGGCTGGAATAGACCTATCTTGATTTAAAAATGGTCTTTGTTGTATTTTTGTGTATTTTATACTCTTTTTAGGCATAAACACATTATTTGTTTTAAAAAAAAAAATTTCCTACTGTCCTACCCATTTTTGGGATATTTAGAAAAACATGGCCAACACAAGATTTTTTTTTTTGGCCTTATGCACAACACCATTTATTCTCTGGTTTTACATATGTGCAGACACACCCAGAAACATACTGTATTCCACTCCTAGTTAGTTTCTGGATTTACATTGAGTCAACATGCTCTTATCAAAAACGCCCTACCAAAAATACTGGTTTCAAACCTGTACACACAGAAACACAAATTCAACTCCCTGGCAAAATTTAGAACTACTGGTTTCACACCAACTGGATACACACAGAAACATATTCAACTTCCCTAGCAATTGGGGATATTGTTTTCACATCAAGTAGACACACACAGAAACATATTCAACTCCTAGCAAACATACAGGTTGTACACAACATAGACACAGAAACATATTCAACTTCCCTAGCAATCGGGCATATTGTTTTCACATCAAGTAGACACACAGAGAAACATACTTAACTATTACCAAACATACTGGTTGTACACAACATAGACACAGAAACATATTCAACTCCTAGCAAACACACTGGTTGCACACAACGTACACACACAGAAAACATATTCAACTCCTAGCAATTGGTTGCACACAACATGGACACACACAGAAACACACACTAGTATTCAAATCCTGGCAAACATACTGGTATCACACTGAGTAGACACGCACAGAAACACACTATATACACCTAGAAAGTTTAAAGGTTTTACAAATAGAAAACATAACAGAAACACATTTAACTCTATAGCTGGAAACATATCGGTTTAACGCAAAGTAGAAACACACACGAATATAGACTAACCACGGCAGCTGCAAACTTACTGATTTCACAGCGATCACCATCAAAATTTGTTTTGCACCCACACGTAAAGTGTGTTTGCAAGTCTGTACAAAAACCATCATTTAAGCATGGATCTGAGGCACACGCATTGAGGGCTGTATTCGAAGAAAAGCATTTAAACATGATTATCTACATCAACTGTTCATTGATTATATATAGGGTTATGGTGTTCCAGTGGTGTATTATGCAAAAGAGGATTGAATTCTTGTCTGTACTACGCGATATCCTACAGTATATGAAACTCCTCAGAATTTCACTAAATTCAGTAGCAAGCTGCTGAAGATACATGATGCTATATCTAAATTTCAATTTCTCTTTTACTTATGTTTTTAAAAAAAACCAACTTTAATGTTTCAATTATTTTCTGTTTAAGATATTAATTTAATTCAATAAATGTTTGTTTACATGGTGGTATGTGAATGCTATGAATTTATTTCAATTTTTATTTTCAATTTTTATTTTTTTATATATTTTAAAGTTTTATATAGTGTATATTTTTTCCTTTAAATGTTTTGAATAAGTTATTTTTACCTAGACCTCAATGATGAAGAATGTTATTTCAATAGACCGATTGAATATCCAGAATAAATAAAGTTTTCCATCTACATATACTGTCTAATAAACACAGTTTATCTAGTTGAATCTCTGTTCAATATGCTTTAATTTTGGAATTTGGTTACATAAAAGGTTTTATGCAGCATAATACAATTGATTTCCCAAGATAGAGGTTTCCTGAAATAAATTTAAACTAAATACTAGGCTGATTAATAATATCAAGATGTTTGTTTTAAATACACATCATCGATTCTAAAACATTTATTAGTAAGCTCTCTATATGCCTAACTTACGCAGGTCACAATCCGTGCTCATCCAGCCCGGGTAGCAGGTACAATAATAGGAAACACCAGATAGGCTACACGCCCCGTTGACACACGGGCTAGGATAACATGGCGTAACAGCTGATTCATAATGAAAATAATTATCATTAATTCAAAATAAACATATTAATATAGTTATTTACATTTCCTTTATATATAATTGTATTGTCTTATTTAAACTCATTTAATTGTTTGGGAGTCTAAACCTAGGTAATTTATAATTAATTTGTTCAAATTATATACATCAAAACATAACTACCAAAAGAAATTTTAAAGGATTCTTTTTTATTTGTGTCATTTTAGATAATAATTTATAGATTAGTCCTTATAATATACTATTTTTATGTATTTTGGTTGAATATTATTCAGTTATTATCTCATATTTTCATGCTGCAATGTTATATATATATTATTAGTTACATTTAGCTTATCTACAATTCTCTTAGATGGTTTTCAAATTTTTATCTATTCGCGCCAAATAAAACAAAACAAAACACAAAAAGATGTTTAAGAGAATAATGTTTTTCATGTTATTATTTTATCTTATATTACTCTGTTGTTTTAGAGACTTTAAAGACAAATGATCAATTCCGTTCATTACGTTTAGGTTCAAATACTGAATAAAGAAAATACATTTTTAAAATGAAAATACAATTAAATATAGATATATTCAAATATGTGTTAGGATTGGTTAAAAATTTAGTATTCTTTGTCACTTTAGATTAAGAAAATATGATATATTCTATCTCCTCTGAACAGTATAGTGTCAGTATATAAATAGCTAGTACGATTTAAAGCAAATGTTAGGGAATTATATTTCTAGCATTCTACACAAGATATTTAATTTAAATTAGGTCTATATCTCAGTCTATGATAAGTAAACAAATCGTCAAACAGCATAGAGGAATATGCTACAAGTTAAACATCAACATACATCACCTACATCTACTAGACTACCGCTAGTAACACTAAAGTACACTCTCTCTATCGTTTGCATACAGATGTACAATCGTCTGCATCATCATGTTATTATCCACAGTGCCTACACAATGTATAAACTAAGTTGTCAATTTAGAGAAGAAATATAAGTCTCCATTACTACAAATAATGAATATGCAAAATCACTGCCAGTAGATAATGTATGCAAATGATCAGAAAGACCACCTGCATGCTAATGCTAATTATATTACTATGGAAAGCATTAGTATGGTAACTGTTATTATATATCAAGGCCACTAAAATGGTATTTATAACATTCAGAAGCATGCCATTGGCCGACCTTCCTCGCAATTTTCGCCAGTGAATTCCGCCGGACAAATGCATCGGTAGTATGTCACATGTCCTTCACATGAGCCACCATTTTGGCACAAATGCGAGCTGCATATATCCATCGCATCTTATTAAAAAAATGTGTACAAGGTTTAGTTAATAAAACACACAAACAATACATACAAGGAAAATGATATTACTTACATTAAATTCATTTACATTACACATTACAAACTTAAAAACACTGTCTGCCATGGAAGAATTAGGAAACATTAAGAGTTTTTAAAAAATATCTCATACAAAAACCACAAAAGTAAGACTTGAGACATGTTTACTTTTGTGGGATATGCATGTGATGTACCAATAGACTTAAACATGCCATTGCTACCATAGAACCTTATTAATTTTCATCAGTAAAATTTAGACGAGACTTTCTTTAGACCTTGTTTAGCGATCCCCCCGACTGCAGATATTATTGATTTCAAATAAAAATAAAATTTTATTTTTGGCCAAATTAGCGCACCCGCCGCCACGAAAAAGTGGAAATTAAAAAAAAATAATAATAATTTAAAAAAATGTTATTACGCCCTCCGCTGTCGCTGTCTTGAAATCTGAAAAGATAAGATATGTACTGTATATTTCCTCCTAATTACTGTACATCAATTTGAAGCATTTAATCATCGAATTTTAAATTCACCAATAAAATTTAATTTTTATTTTCACCTCCGTCTGAAACTATTTGCTAAATAAGAAAACAAAATTTTATTTTTATTCTTATTCCGCCCTCCTCCGATAATCTTTAAAAAAATATTAAGTACGCGAAACAAGGAATAAAAAAAGTCTATATAGACTTGAGTCCTAATTATCATGTAACAATATATTTGAATAAACGCCCCTCGGGGTTTATTGTTGAGAAGGGTTATTAAGGGCCGTTTATTCTAGGAAGGCATTTATTTTGTTGGGTGTAAAATGGATACGCATGTATAAAAAAAAAAAAAATCCTGAAAAAATTGACAAAAACAAAACATTTTTTATGCCAACAATAATAATCTTCAGGTGTGAAAATTAATGTTGATGCAGTAAAAGGCATTGCTTTTTAAAACCTTAAAAACATATTAAGTATATGAATGGTTAAGTACTGCACAGCAACCTGGAAATATTTAGTATGGACCAATCTTTGGCCACCACCAACCACACAGACATACAGAATAGCAATCCTACATATAACCTAATATAGAGTACAGCATGCTATTTATTTCATTCTAACTGATAATACCTGTAGTTCTCTTTGTCAAGAATATATCAAACTAAAATCGAATATTTGTATTCTTTTAATTTTTGTTAAACAATTCTTTATATTGGATTTATTCGGTGTAAACACCAAGGATAGCCCACGAAAGTCTAGAAGAAGACTTATTTCCAGTGGGGTCCTTCTGGTGGTGATTGGGCAGTACACCGGGAGACAATCCCCTACTCTTTTCCGAAGAGTGTACTGCGTTCTTTAACGTGCACATGGGCCATAATGCACACAGGACCAACGGCTTAAACGTCTCATCTGAAAGACGCACTATTGTAACTTGTATTTCAGCCTTCTAGCTGAAACTCAAGGAGAGGGAGCGATGGGAATTGAACCGGGGACCTAGAGATCTCCACGGTTCAGTGCACACACAGTGGCTACCACCAGATTAGCCGACTGAGCTAAGCTGCTCTCTCTATTATATAATTATAAAATATTGTACATATTTTTGTGGTTTTAACTGTACCACTTTGAAAATTAATGTAATAGTACTGAAAGTGCCTACAGTATAACGAAAGAATAAATAAATATTATTATTATTGACTACCAAACACAATCAATAAACTAAAGACTAATGAAACTGGGGCTCCAAAAATTTGCAGACTTGTACAATAAGGCGCCTAAATCAAGGGCCAACTGACACNNNCCCCCCCCCCCCCCCCCCGTGCCAGCACTGTACTTGGTATTTTCATATTCAGAATAGACAAGTGAGTAGCGTCGTCATCTGTCCGCACTATATATGACATCAACCTATTATCACTATAGTATTATCATACTTGACTGAAATCAATAATACGTATTATATATAAGTCATAATACAACAGAGTTCTGTTTTGTCTATGACCTATTTAGAGTGCTTATATATCTAATATGGAGCACCTGAGAAGATTTGTAATGAATACAATAAAAAAAAATAACAAAACACCTGTAAAAATTATTCTTGATATGTCTCGAAATTTCTTCACTTGAATAAAAATCCAAATCCAAATTGTATTTCTGGAAAAAAATGTTACATGGTAATACTGTACAAATAAATATTGATGTGTCATTGGAACAGAAATGCAGACAAAATAAAAACTATAAAAAGTAAAAACTTACTGCTTTCACAACGCATTCCAGCAAAGGCGGGGAGGCAGTTACAAACATATCCAGTTCCGAGTAATGAACATGTTCCGCCATTCAAACAGGGTCCACTCAAACAGGCAACATTCACAACTAAACAAAAAGTTATTTCAATGTAAATGAATCATTTATTTTAAATGTGATCTGGTAGAGGGATCAAGGCTGAGTTTGCATATCATCAATTGTAACTTAATTAAAGTCATGTTATTCTTTTACAAGCTGGAAAATAACACATTGCACAATAATATACATAAAAAAATACAATAGTAAGAATATAATTTTATTAGGTGTTTATTGTGTACTTCAAAGACACCTAACAATGACGTCCTTGCCACGATACAGAATGAAAATAAACTCTTGTCATAACCTCTGACCTATTCACATTCTATTACACTTAACTTCTATCAATGTACCTGCAAATGTGGTGAAATAGTATAGAGTTGTGCGACTTAAAGTGTGTACTTTTTATCAGGGGCAGATAAAGACAGGGGTTTTATATTTATTTATTTAGGGCCTCTGAAAGTATTACTTTTTCAACCACACTCGGATCATGAAAGGACCATACTCCCCTAGTTTAGGTTATTCATCAAACTATCTGAAATTTGTGGTAGCCCCAACTACTGTACTTGTATCCTAAAATGTTGTAATAAATAATAAATAAATAATAAAACTTACAACAAATCCTGGATCCATGCCTGTATATCAAATAAGGCTATTTTACAGCAATTTTGTCTGTATTTGTGTTTAAGTTTTAAAGAATTAATAATAGCTTTGGGCCTTGCCTTTTATCACCAAATATTCTGCTTGCAGTATGGCTAATTCTAATAAAAATTCAAATAAAGTAGTAAAAATATTTGAATTCTATGGGAGGATTATATAAATACGTGGTTTCCAATTACATAGAGCAAGGAGTGGGAATATGAGAATATTTAGTTCTTTTCTTCATAAGTAGCATACGTCAATACCTTTCACAACAAAACACACAATACACAACAGATGAGTGGATGTGAATTGGTCAGTATACACACGTTAACAACAACAGAAGGACGTTTTAAATAACTAATGTTGACTTTTAAACAAGTATTGTTGACACTGGCAAAGAAACCATGTGGTTTGTTAAGTCTACATTTCATGTCCTGCTGTTCAGTTTAAATTGTTTTAAAACAATGAACAAAAGAAAAAAATACAGAAGTATACTTTTCACACTTATTCTAAAATAATTATAGGTAATTGGAATTTATAAAGCGTCTTCTTATCGAAGAAAGCAGGTGCTAGAACATCAATAATAAGTGAATAATTATAAACAGATTAATATAAAGCAGACAAAAAATGAGATCACAATGGTGAGTATTAAATAATAATATTTTGATCACCTGCACAGATGTTTTTAAAAAGTTTGTTTTAATGTTTAAAAGAGTACACTGAAATACAGGTAAAAAAATGAAAAACACTTGAAAAAAAAAAGAGACGTGTATTTAAGGAGCTTCATTTAAGGTCTAGTCTGTGTGGTGATGGGTCTTTTGAAGTTAGGTAGTATGGTAGAGCATATGTCAGGCTTCAGAATTAGGGTCACTTCACCAGATATGTTAGACAGACATTTGTTTGTACCCAATGCTAATTTATATAATGCAATATTTATGAGGAATTGATTTGGAGCTTGGTATGTATTTAGTAATCAATAAAACAGTTAATTATGTCCTCCACTAATCGTTATTCCAATGACAGGAGTAATAATGTGATACATAAGACTTAATTGTGAAGAGCACTATGCGTATGCGTACAGCCATAATATCGACGTGCTTGCTTCTTGTGGTGGAACAAGTCTTTTTGTATAAGGACTATTTTAAAACTGTAGGCTCATAGTACACAATTTGACTCTTTAAAGACACCCAGTACATCTTTCAAGATGAGTATAGGGGGTTACCGTGGCGTATTGTTCCATATGGCCCCTGTTGTGGACAGGTTAGAGTAAGTGGTACCGGTGTACCGGATAGCTTATTCATGAAGAGACTCTTAGCGGAGAAGCAAGATATTGTATGAGCTAGTCGACACCTTCAGCACTTCGACTTTGATATAACACGCTATATAAATCTACCTACATTACACATTACATTACATACATATGGTTACCAACATATTAAATTAATATTATCATAATAAACATATTATTATAAATAAAATTATATTTAAATAGGATAAACTAAATATAAACAAGTATTGATATATAAACACAAATTGCATTGATCTCTAATCTTATCTGCTGCAACTAATATACATCACACAATGCCAGCTACCAATTTAAAATCAAAATACAGTAGAGTTATTCAAATAAGTGATCCCTACTAATGCATATTGTGTCATTAATCTGTAAACATCCGGGAAATGGTATCATTTTATTTAGATAATAATCCAGGATAACCTTTAACTGTCCGCATTCCTTTCTACAAAAGTGCAAAGGAATAATATTTGTCAGAAAATGGGTTAAAAAAATAGGTAATAAATTCCGGCTATTGAAAAGAAGTCATTTGGGATAGAGATTTCATAGGAATTTAGTAACTTTTTTAAACCATAATCAATTTAATAATCTTTAACCCTCCACATTCCTTTCTACACAAGTGTGAAATTATAATATTCGTCAAAAAATGGGTTAGAAAGATGGGTAATAATTCCAGCTATTGAAAATAAGTGATTTAATAACTTTGTTAACAGTATGTTCAATTGTGTATTATAGCTTATATGAGATGGGTTATGAAAAGGGAATTTAATCATTTGTTTAACAGTATTTTTAATTGTATTCTTCAAGCAATCAAATAGGTACACTCCTATGCGGTGAGATTTATGTGTGTGTGTGTTTGAATAAAGGACATAATGGTACATCATGTAGCATAGCTCTCAATTTAATAAATAACAATACACTGTAACAATATTAATAATTATTATTGTTATATTATATATACAGTAGTTATTATTATCATACATTTTAACAAAAATACAGCTGTAATCTACTTCAATGCATGATATTATGCTGAAAAAAGATAGAAGAAAAAAATGTTTGAATTTTTGAAAATCCTGTCTGGCCAATGAGTGTTATTTTCCTCTCTATGGTAATTTGTGTTTGTCTGTTGTATTGTTATTTGGACCAAATAAATGAAATCATACATTATTATTATAATTAAAATACATGTTTATTTAAGATATTCACCTTCATGACAATATTTTTTATTAAATTAATGAATATCAATAAATGAAATTAATTTGTTTGCTTACCTTGCCCACAGTTATCACCAGTAAAGCCATTAGGACATTCACAATAAAAACCACTACCGACAAATAATGTGTAGCATGTACCACCATTCAAACAAGGGCTACTAGTACACGTAAGAGCTAGTTACATTTTTCAAAGCAAAAAAGCCAAAGTAAATCAAAAGAAAACATAAAAGTGCAAAATTAACAATACATTATAACAAAAATACAGCTTTAATCTATTTTCATGCATGACATTTATGTTGAGATTTAAAAGATTAAACAAAACGAATTTGTTTGTCTTTCGAAGAGATACACACTTTTTGTGTTGGGCCGTCGGTCCATGGTTTCCTCTTCAACACTATATTTTGTGTCAAATTTTTAATAAAACAAATAAAGAATATTCAAATTTAATGCAATTTATCATTATTTTGGACCTGCTAAGGGGCAAAAGCCAAAACACAATCTTTTCCAACCTGGTCTTTACCATTTGCAATTATATTTAAGATAGTTGCCAGATGACACAATGCAAAATGGAAAATTGTGTGTCCATTTATTAAAAGTGTTATTTCCAAAACATTCTGGCAATTCTTTTTTTATGTTCACGATACAATTTAGTGTATTTGTTTTTGATAAATTATGCCAAATTAAATTTTATAAATCTATATTTTATTATTATGAAAGATTTTTATATAATTATTCATAAATAAGCTTTAACACTGTCCACACTCTGAAATGCTTATATATAGTCATAATATGCCTATAGACCATTTTTGCGAAAATTGGAAAAGAAAATTTCCGATAACCTGGCAACTACTGTACCACTGGGGACTTCCAGAGGCCTACGCACTTCACGCTACGTAGTTACCAGTGTGTGCGCGACGCTCTATTTGACACTAGCTAGCTGCTCAGGCTAGGCTAGGCTGCTGGAAGTCCCCCAGTAAGTTGCGAGATGGCGGCGGCACTGTTCCAAAATAAACCGGATAAAATGGTCATGGTGTGATGTCATCATGACCATATTTAGGTATGTCACATGTCTGAACAGGACTTTACATAAAATAGCAACAAACCTGATTGGCACATTCTACCACTGAACCCAAATGGGCATTCACAAAAATATTGACTAGCATCTAAATTGCTGATGAAGCATTGACCACCATTCACACACGGATTACTGGAGCATGCGGTTACTAAATAACAAACGAGCAAACAATCTAGCATAAATCTCAGGCATTAAGTAGATAAAAAATCCAGCTAAAGGAAATATTTACTTGAAAATTCTCAAAATAAAAAAAAGAAATTAAAAACCTAGTAAAAAATTTCTTTTAAATTATGACATAGATTTAACACTGTCCACACTCTGAACATAACCACCACTATTTGTGGGGACGACATTAGAAACAATAGGAACATTACCTATCTAACAACAGATATACTACCTGAGATCTCGCAGTTAGTGCCTGTAAATCCACTCACACACTGGCAAACATAACCACTAGTTGTGGGGAGACACTGGCCACCATTTTGACACGGAAATAATGCACATGATCCTAAAGGTAAAAAAAAACAGAAAAAGAATGGAAAGGATGAAAATCTAGCAAACTAGAAAAATGAGAGGAAAAGAAAAATAAACAGAATTGGATACAAAAATACATGCAAAATAAGCTACCTGAAATATAGGCATAACAATGAACCAAAAAAGTACTATTTCTTGTATTTAAAGAATGCTGTACAACCATTATTACATTTAGAATTAGATTTTGAAAAATCACCAACACTTTATTTGAGACGGTGCTTATTTGGCACAGGTGTTTAATACAGCATTTAGTTTACAGAGCAGCAGAAGTCAAATGACATTAGAAACCACAGAAACATTACCCATCTAACAGCAGATATATTACCTGGGGTCT